TGGAAGACAAAAATAAAGTGGCTTTGATGAATACAACCCACAAGTTCTGTGTGTTCAGCATACTGGTTATAAAAGATTCTTTTCTTAGAAACCACTCTGCCTTGAGTTCCTAGATATACTGAAACAGTGCCATTCAGATATCAGCAAGAGTCCCTCATTCTTTGGAGGTCTGGGTAATTCAATAGCTTGGAAACATTTGAGCTTATCCAATAATTTCTCTTCATTCCTAGAAACTTACTCACCTGAGGTGCCTCTTATTTCTGTGTCTGTTTTGCCTTCTGCTCTTTCCTCTCATCAGCCTGGATGCAGAAACAGCATCTCTTAGCATTCCCTATGTAGAAGAATCTCCTCACACAAAGAGTAGTTGTGAGTAGTGGAGACTTAACGGAAGTTTTCCCATCTCTTCAAAGTGGAAGTGTTTGATGGTCAAGGAGGTTTCTTTAGGTAAAGTTCAGTTGAGTTCCACAACATTTATGGAGTGACTGCTGTTACCAGGTACTGTGATAAATGCTGGATACACAGAGTAAGTGATAGTCTCTATCCTCAAGATACTTACAGTCTAGCTGGAGAGAGAATGTAAGAAACACAGTAAAGGCCTGGCAGAGCCCATGTCGCCACGGCAACACACAGTGGTAGTGGGGAGTACAGTCTGATATCAGGATGGGGGGAGTCAAGGAAGGTTTCCCTCTGTGATAAAACACAAGAGTAACAAAGTAGCGGATTGGAAAGAGAATCAAATAAAAATTTGAGAACAAAGAAATATAACAAGTGTTTAAAAACTCAAGGGTTGGGTCTGACAACAGTTTGGACACATGGGAAGAAAGAATCAATGAATCAGAAAACTTGGTAGAGGAAACTACCTAGAATGAAGACAAGACAACAGGGCAGAAAACACAAAAGCGAACATAATAGACACAGAATACAGAGAGAAGGTCTTATTTATATCTAGTTGGTATAAGTCTACTTGGAGCTGAGAATGAGCAGGGACAATTTTGAAGATAATTAAGAATTTTCCAGAACTGATGAAAGATGTCAAGCTCAGACTCAAAAAAAAAAGAAAAAACCCCAAGAAAAGTTAATAAAACAGATCTATTCTTGGCACATTAAATCTGCAAAAAACAAAACAAAAAATTAAAGATAAGCAGAGGAGAAAAAAAGATTATTTCCAAAGAAGCAACAGTCAGAGAGTTGTGCAACAGCAAGAATGGAAACCAGAGAACAATGAACTGTCTTATCAGTGCTAAAAGAAAACGGCTAGTCCAAAATTCTACATCCAGCTAAAAGGTCCTTTAAGAATAAACATGAGCAGACATTTTTAGACAAATAAAAACTGAGTGGTTTACCCACTATTAGAAATACTGTATTAATTTTCTATTTTTTGCATAACAAGTTACTATAACCTTAGCAGCTTAAAACAACATCCACTTATTATCTCACAGTTTTGTTGAGGAGAAGTCCAGGCAAGGATCAAATAGGTTCTCTATTCAGAATATCACATGGCTGAAATCAAAGTGTTGGCCAAGGCTAGGGTCTCATCTGAGGCTCAAGGTCCTCTACCTGGACCTTGTAGTTGAAAGCAGAAATGAGGTCTAAAAAAAAGTCCAAGATTTGAAAGTATACAAATCATATTTTCTGATATAATGCAATTACACTAGGAAACAATTCAAAAAACTCGACATTTATTTGGATATTAAGAAGGGCTTTTAAATAACACATAGGTTAAATAAGGTATCACAAAGAAAATTAGAATAATATTCATGGGATACAGCTGATAAAGGGAAATTTGTAGTCTTAAATGCATATATTAGAAAATAACAAAGGTTAAAATTAATGATCTAAGATTCTATTTCAAAAAGTTATTTTAGTTATTTTCTATTCTAGAAAATAAAATATTGTATACTATACTATTACAAAGATTTACTGCCTATCTCTGGGCATTGGCATCAAGTTTAGCTGTGTTTTCTGTACCAGTCAATAAAATGTTTACAGAAGTGTGATATGTCACAGCTAGGCAGAAGTTTTACAGTTTACCACACTGTCTCTTTTCCCTTTGTCATAAAGATTGTCAATGCTCTAGACAGTGACTGCTCTGGTAGCTTGAGTCACACAGTGAAAACAATGTGGAAAAGAACCCAGCCAATCTGGATGGAACAGGTAGCATGAATGAGAAATAAACTATGTTGCTTGAAAGTCCTGAGATTTTTGAGTAATTGTTAATGCAGCCTAGCATTCCTGGTGGCTAAAGGATGGTGGTAAAGGACACTTGGGTTCGATCCTTGGGTTGGGAAGATCCCCCGGAGAAGGAAAGGGCAACCCATTCCAGTATTCTTGCCTCAGAAATCCCACATACAGAAGAGCCTGGCAGGCTACAGTCCACGGGGTGGCAAAAGTGTCGGACAAGACTTAGTGACTAAACAACAACTGGTGGGTAGGGCTGATGTCCCTCCCCAGGACGGCAGCACCTGGGCAGGGAATCTGCACAAGGCAGGCTGGGAGGGAGCATGGACCGCCCCTCTTGGGAGGGCACCACCACTGCAGTCCTACCGGATGACACAAAGCTACCAAAAAGAAGCAGGAGCCGCGGGGGAGACCAGGGGAAGAACAGATGCGGATGACGGGAGAGAGGCATGTGCACGGAGGGAGGAGCTGGGGTCTAGACTGTGAAGTGGGCGGGTGGGGCCAGGAGACACCCAGAGCCCTCACCTCCCAGGCATGGGAAAACGTCAGATTTCTAGGATTCTAAAAATAACATAACAGAGGGGAGGGGGAATTACATAAAACTAGTCAAAGAGTGTAAGTTTTCAGTTATAAATAAGTACTAGGGATGCAATGTAATGGCGGATTACAATCCATGGGGTCACAAAAGAGTCGGACACGACTGAGCGACTAAACAACAAGGGATGTAATGTACAATATGATAAAACAGTTAACACTGTTGTATGCTATATACGAAAGTTGTTGAGAGTAAATCCTAAGAACTATCAAAAGGAAAAAAGTATTTTTTTCTTTTTCTTTTATATCTCTATAAGATGATAGATGATCATTAAACTTTGATGTCAAATCATCATGCTATATGCTTTAACTTTATACAGTGCTGTATTTCAGTTATATCTCAATAAAACTGGAAAATAAAATAAAAACACATAATTACTAACTGCCTAACATGCACAAACACAAGAATTCATGGTTTTGAAACTTGCCTTTCTATGGTCTCTTTCCCTTACCTAATAATCACCCCCTAGATTTTATGGCAGCTATAAAGGGAAAGACTGACCATGCAGGTCAGCCTCTGGCAGAATTCATGTCAACATTCTAGGAGGGCTGGTTGGGCTGGCCAGTTCACAGCACTGATAATTAAGACATGAGTTACATCACGGACTGGAAACGCTATGAGCCAATAATTATGGTCGTAAGTAAAAGTTGGATTCTGAATATGAGGATTTGGGCTACAACTACAGAAAATTGGGAAGGCAGTTGTCATTCTGTTCTACATCACATACCCTGAGATCTGGGTGGATTAAGGGACTGTTGACTCAAATTTAGTCTATTTTGTCTCCTACCAATTAGGAACCCTTTTTAAGAATCCTTTGATTACCAGGCCATATTTGAAAGTTTTTTTCTCCTTGGTGGATATCTACCTTATCACTAATTAGCCAACTATTTGTCTATATCCACCCTAGTCATTTATTGTTGTGCATCTAAAATAATAAAGTTAATGGTGAAGAAGACAAGCGTGGGTCCCAATAAGTCCATCCCTAAGCCAGCCCAGGGAAAAATTTTGTCTCAGGACACTGATCAACACCTTATGAGAACTTCATTCAGACTTGTTTTGTCTGTGAGAGTTTGGATCAACAGAGCTCTCCGCACACCTTTCACCTGCTGAGAGATGTAAATTCATCAGAGTTGCAATTGGATAAGGTCAAGCTGTGAGGTCAAGGGCCCCAAGCTACAGGATGCACAAGCAACTCTCCAGGGACATTCCCAGGCTGTCATGGGGGTTCTCTTAGTGTAAACTTCAGTCCATGTCTTCCCCAGGCCCAACTTCCGCTTCTTACTGGTATTTATGCTATTGCCCAAATTTGTGCACTTATCTTTCTAAATAGCATCATTTTACCAAGGATGCTTCAGAATTACACAGTGACCACTACAAGAACTTTGGACATGAACGGTTACCCACTTGATAAGTGTCTTTGAAGGAAAAGGGAACACAATAGAAACATCCAATGGTCTTTTTTTTTTTTATTAGCATGAGGAAGAATAAAAAAAAAAAAAAATTGAATTCTAAAATCACCTCCTTAACAGATTCCTTGGCCAAAGCAAAAGAAAAATCTGAACAACTTAAAACCATCTGTCTTTTAGATCTCTCACAGATCACAATTCAAACACACTATTCCTCTTCCTCTATCCTACATTCTTCCACCTCCTACTGCCCCATCTCTCCCTCTGACCCACTCTTCTTCCCTCCTAGCCCAACAGATACCCCAAACCTTGCGTGCATGTGTGCTCACTCAGCTGCATCTGATTCTTTGCGACCTATGGACTGTAACCCACCAGGCTCCTCTGTCCATGGGATTCTCTAGGCAAGACTTCTGGAGTGGGTTGTCATGCCCTCCTTCAGGGGATCTTTCTGACCCAGGGATCGAACACGCATTATGTTGCCTGCATTGGCAGGTGGGTTCTTTACCACTCCAGAAGTTCTTTACCACTAGCACTACCATGGAAGTCCAACCCTATCCTTACTTACCTCTTCAAGGTAAACCTTCTTCAGCACAGAGAAAACTGCTGCTGCTGCTAAGTTGCTTCAGTCGTGTCCGACTCTGTGTGACCCCATAGATAGCAGCCCACCAGGCTCCCCCGTCCCTGGGATTCTCCAGGCAAGAACACTGGAGTGGGTTGCCATTTCCTTCTCTAGTGCATGAAAGTGAAAAGTGAAAGTGAAGTTGCTCAGCTGTGCCTGACTGTTAGTGACCCCGTGGACTGCAGCCTACCAGGCTCCTCCATCCATGGGATTTTCCAGGCAAGAGCACTAGAGTGGGTTGCCATTGCCTTTTCCGACAGAGAAAACTGCTAATAGTGAATTTTAAGCTCTGGTTCCATTCTCAGCTGAAAGCCATTGTCAAAGACTTTCCAAGGCCTAGACAAGATAAAGAGAACAGTGAAGAGAAATTCAGATTAGTTTGAGGGACATATAATCCAGGGTGACCAGATATATACCAATTAGTTCATATGTTGCAAAAAGTTCAGTGAAAAGGTCAGAACTTCCAATGATGACTGAAAAGACCTTGACTTGAACAGGAAACCAAAGGGACTTAGAAACACCGCAGATGTGGGTCAAGGTCTTTTGGAAGCTATCCTCTGTCTTTTCTGTGAAAATAGTGTGTGCTCTGATTCAGTTCTTCAAGCCAAAAAAAAGAGAAGTCTGATGGAGACTTTAGGGATAGGTTCTTTAAAATGTAGCATCAGGGTTCAGTAGTAGATCTTGAAGCAGATGCGACCCTGGCTCTCCCTCTCATCTTTTTGTAAATTGCCTCAAAGGAGAAATAGGGGGTTTAATATGCAAGCAAAAAGTAGGGTGGGAAATAGGCCCATGGCCAGATCTCCAAAACCCTGGAAGAGCTCTATTTAAAAGAGCCCTAGAACTAACAGACTAAAGGGAAAATAAAATAAAAAATAAATAAAGGGAAAAGAAAAAAAAAAACTATCAATGGAGGTGTTCAGTTTCCCATTCTACCTGCAAACCCACAAGGAAACACTGGTCTAAAAATTAAAAGACAATCTTACAATTTTGACTGATATCATCACAATAACAGCGATCTTAAATCTGAGCACTATTGTATAGATCTTCCTCAACTTATAAAGGGGTTATATTCCAATAAACCCATTGTAAGTTGAAAATATCATTAGGTCAAAAATGCATTTTGTAAACCTACCATCATAGCTTAGCCTTGCTGCCCTTAAACAAGCTCAGAATTTACATTAGATTGTGGTTTGGCAAAATTACCTAACACAAAGCCTATTTTATAATAAAGTATTGAGTATCTCTCATAACTTATTGAATACTGAAAATGAAAAACAGAATGGTTGTCCAGGTATAGAATGGTTGTAAGTGTATTGGCTATCTCCCCTTGTGATCACGCGGCTGCTGGGAGCTGCCACTTGCTGCCCTGCCCAGCATCACTAGTGAGGATCTTGCTGCATTTTGCTAGCCTGGTAAAAAGATCAAAATTCAAAATTTGAAGTGTGGATTCCACCAAATAGGTATCACTTTCCTACCATCTTAAAGGTGGAAGAAGTTGCATCATCATAAGCCAGGGACCTGCTGGAACAACCCTCTCCTTGGATTCAACAAACTATGTGGTCATGAATCTATCTGATAATTCTCACCACACCTTCCCTAGGCCCCAGCACTTAACCATCACCCTGTACTTTTAACCAAGGAATATTCTTTTCTCCTTTGTGACATTATACTCATTAACTTAACAGCAAGGGATTTACTGTGTAAATGGAATTGCTCTCCACATTAAATGCTCTCCTGATGGCCTCTTCCTTTCAGTCCCCGAGGACCTCCCTGTTCATAATGAGGTCCTGGCTAATGTGAATATTGATTTACCAGTACTTTTGGTGGTAAACCAAGCATAGATGGCAGTTCTCTTGTGGGCACACAACTCCACTTACATTCTACTGGAACTAAATGCATGGTGTTCAGTTCAGACTGACCCACCTAAACGTCTAGGTGGGCAAATTTGCCCAACAACCTTTAAAACAAGGCACTAAGGAAGGAATAAAACTAATAATCAAAGGCCACAAAGAGAAAGGAGTCTTCATACTTCATCCCAGACTTTGTAACACTCCTATTTCCCCAGTCAAAAAACCCAGTGGGCAAGAGCATAGATTCACTTATTAATAGTTCCCTGGGGCCATAAATATTAATGTCACTCTCCACTTCCCTTTAGAACCAAACTCAAATACTGTTTCATCCTCAAGGTCTAAGGTGACTGGGGGTATCGTACAACTGTGGAACACTGTTGTGCTTTCCTTGGTGTGCCTTTAAATTAGAAGTTAATACCTGTCTTTTCCAAGTAAAATCAACATACCTGGACTGGTATGCATGTTTCTGAGGTGCCCTCCTACTTTTCACAAATCCTCGACCAGGACCTCTGGAGCTTTAACTTGCCCTGCGATCCTATTCTTAGCCAATATGTAGAAAATCTTTCTTGTTCCAAAGATGAGGCTGGCTCTGAGGCTGATGCATCTGTGTACTCTTTTAGCTCAGAGAGGACATATAGGTTCCTGAGAGAAGTTAACAATTTGTTAAAGGACAGTGCACGACCTAAGATAGGATTTATCCCATGAGGTAAATCTCTTACTCCAGACAACCAGCTGTGCAAAAGCTTCCCAGCAAACTAAGAGATAATTATGAGGATTCTTGAGATGAATCCTCATAATGGCATCACTGACTCGATGGACATGAGTTTGAGTAAGCTCTGGAAGTTGGTGATGGACAGGGAAGCCTGGCGTGCTGCAGTCCATGGGGTTGCAGAGATGGACACGACTGAGTGATTGAATTGAACTGAGTCTCACTGGCCACTGTGGGCTGTGTGTTCCCAAGTTTTCTTACAACTCCCACATCATTATTTGACTTACCCAAGTTCCTGGTAATCAAGTCTTTTCTCTGAGAAAAAACATAAACTTATTTTTTTTAGTTCAAATGAACTGTTCAAAAGCCTCTTACTTTGGGCCTACTGTGTGTTAGCCTCTCAGCTATGTCCAACTCTTTGTGGGTAGCCATTCCCTTCTCTAGGTGCATCTTCCCAACCCAGGGGTCAAACCTAGGTCTCTGGCACTGCACGCAGATTCTTTACCATCTGTGCTATCAAAGAAGCCCAACTGTAAGTCAATAAGAGATCTTACTGAGAACTTAACTTCATGAGAATAAACACCAGTAGCTTAAGCTTCTCTGATGATCCAGTGGCAAGAGCGTCCCACTCTGTTCAGGGGCAGCAGCTAAAGGAACAGTCTCCTACTGGCTTGGCTTTAAGAGTCTCCTTTAAACCAGACGGTCCCTTGTGCTGTACCATCTCTGTTGCTCCCTGAAAATACACATTTCTCATTAAGTTGATTTACCTCCTGTGAACTTCCTTCCCTTCTCTGAGATTCTGCAAAGATGGTCTAGGCAGTACTCTCCCTCTGGTAAGCAATGAACTCAGCCTCCTTCATCTGAGGAGGAAAATACCTTGCTGAAAATACCTCTTCTACCTTATTTCCTTTTCCTTTCTACCTTGCTGAAGGTATTTTGGCAGCATTTCTGAGCTGGCAATGACAGCATTCTTCATCAGAATGTGTCTTAAACTCTCACCTGGGAGATCCCAGATTATTAAAAATAAATTAAAAACAACCTCTACACTTGTATTTGCCATGGATTTTGTCAAATGTTACTCATTGGACCATGGTTATTCTTTGTTCTTGTTCCTACAGCCTCTTACTCCCCTAAAAGACAGTGGTGACTAGTGGGCTGGGGTCTTGACTCTTCTGGAAAACAGCTCTAAGGGGGTCCAGCATGTGTTTGTGTTTGTTAAGCTTTCACCATCCTGCTGTGTTCCTCCTGCCAGTGCCCCAGGCCCACACAAATATCGGTGCTCCTGTCAAAGAACATGTTAGTTGCTCAGTCGTATCTGACTCTTTGTGACCCCGTGGACTGCAGCCTGCCAGGCGCCTCTGTCCATGGGATTCTCCAGGCAAGAGTACTGGAGTGGGTTGCCATGCCCTCCTCCAGGGGATCTTCCCGACCNGACTGCAGCCTGCCAGGCGCCTCTGTCCATGGGATTCTCCAGGCAAGAGTACTGGAGTGGGTTGCCATGCCCTCCTCCAGGGGATCTTCCCAACCTAGGGACGGAACCCAGGTCTCCTGAATCAAAGACAGATTCTTTACCATCTGAGCCACCAGGAAAGCCCAAATAACAGTTTGACCCCAACATGATCTGAATATGCAATCAACAGGCAGCAATACCGCCTCAGATAGTTCCCTGGAGTCCAGCAACTTGGGGGTCAGGCATAGCAAAGGATTGGAGAGACAAGAGGGAGGAGAGGTTTTCCTTATTTTGTTAGGATTCCTCTTATCAACTCTGCTTTTCTTTGGCTGCCCGAGGGCTGACTCTGGGGCAAATCACAGGGTGTCCTCAGGCCGCCTCCATCCGAAGGACACACGCAGCTCTCTCCAAGTGACATCCGGTTCTGGTGACCAGCAAGGGCAGCCAAAGGGTAACCTAAAGGAGTCGGTGTCAATTGAGCAAACTGCCAAAGCCACCCCCATTTTCCTTCATCTATCTCCTCGTCTCTAGGAGCTCAGGTCAGCCTAGAGTAGCCGAGGTGAGGAATTCTGCCTCACAAGCAAGGAATGGAGCTGCATGTGGGACCTAGAGAAGAGGACATCCAGGGTTTCCCTGACGGCTCAGGTGGTGAAGAAAATGCCTGCAGTGCAGGAGACCCGCGTTCAACCCCTGGGTCGGGAAGATCCCCTGGAGAAAGGAATGGCTATCTACCCCAGTATTGTTGCCTGGAGAATTCCATGGATAGAGGAGTCTGGTGGGCTACAGTCCATGAGGTTTCAAAGAGTCGGACACGACGGACCCACTAACACCGAAGAGGATATCGGCAGGGACGGGGGCGCAGGGAGGCCGCCTTCAACAGACGCCCCCTTGTGGCTGCAGAGACAAAGGGTCCAGGAGTCTGAGCTCCACTTCACAAAAACTTCCCACGGGTTACAGTTGTCCAGACGCACGAAGTAGTGTCTCCTGACACTGAAAGTGGTCAAGCTCACTCCCAGGGTTACGTATCAGGCAGGGGCTGGGGAAGAAGGGGTGAACCTTCTAGCTCTTAGGGGTCTATACTCAAAAGCTTGCTCTGACCCTCCGGTCTTCTGGAATCTTCGGTCTGTGCCATGCACTGTCACTTAAATAGTTCTGTTTTGACGCTTTGGTCTTGCGTGATGGCCCCCATCGCCACCCTGGGCTGTACCCGATGCGGGGCCACCATAAACGGTTCTCAAAGGGTCTGCCTCCCCCGCCTCCCCCGCCTGCCTTGTAATCCTTTGAACTTCTTAGTACCCACAGCACAGGGCTAAGTCCTGTTAAGAGCTCGGTACAGCTTTGATCAAAGTAGTCTTTATACACTAGAATTAAAAAATAAGTAAATACCAAGTTGGAGAAACGGCTTAAAACGTCTAAGAAATCCAGGGCAACAGGATTCTGCAGAGGACAAGGCCTGCCAGCTGGGGTGGGGAGAGACAGATTGGAAAGAGGAACTCCACTCTGATGAAAGAACACACAAATCTTTCGCAGGGGAGGCATTAGCAGGTTCTCCCGAGCGCCCCGGGGATGGCGCGCAAGAGTCGCGCGGCCCAGCAGGGCGGGAACCGGGCGGCTGTCGGTGGCTCCCCAGGGAGGCTCCTTCTCCGAGTTGGGAGCTACCGGCCGGCCGGCCTCTCCCCGGATTTGTGACGTGCCGGGGCAGCGGTGGTGACGGGGCCACCACACAAAGCAGGGTCGTCGGGGCGGAGGTCTCCCAGGCCAAGAGCCCCAATGGGATGGGGAGGGGGTGGGGAGCGAGGCGCCCCCGGGCGCCGGGGCTCCGCGCGGTATTAAAGTGAGCGCCGAGTCGGCAGTGGCGGCATCGCGCCCCCGTCGACCCCGCCCGCGTGTGTGCCCCAGCCGGGACGCCGCCCCCGGCCGGGTCTCCACTTCTCGGCCGCACCTCCCATGACTGCGCCCGCTCGAAGATGGCTGCGAAGGGCGCATACGGCTCCCACCTGAAGATTGAGAGCGAGCTGGAGCGCTGCCGCGCCGAGGGCCACTGGGACCGCATGCCCGAGCTGGTTCGGCAGATGCAGGCGTTAGTCATGCTGGGTGGCGGAGGCGGCCGGCGAGGCAGCCCGAGCGCTGGGTTCAACTCTCTGGACACCGGTGAGTGAGTAAGGGAAGGGGCCGGTTCGCAAGCGCGGAGCGCGCGAAAGGCGCCGCCTCCTCCAGGAAGCGGGCCTCGACTGCCTGGGGCGGGAGGTGGCTGCTTTCGGTATTGCTCGTCTTGCGTTGCTGATGTTAGGAAACAGCCAGGGTACTTAGGAAGGTTCTTGTGCCTCGGGAGAAGACTCACGTGCAGGTTGTTTTGGGGAAGAGAAATAAACGGCTTTTGCTCTCTGTCCTTTCCGATCTTGTGGGCTACACCGACTACTGTGAAATGGTGGTAGCAACACTTATTAGCTCAGGGCGTGGGCTGGACCCCTGCGCCACCCCTCCAACCCCCATTCCGGTGCCTAAACTCCGTCAGGTGAAGACTGTCTGTCTCTCTTTGCCCTCCCCGCCTTCCCCCGTCATTGACAGCGAAGCTCTGTGCACCGCCAGTACGGTTCGGGGCTTGACGAGCGCCAAGGTGGAGTGGTGAAGTGGGAAAGAGGGCTGGTTAAGCCTTAGATTCCTCTTCTGTGTTCTGCTTCAGGACGCCTCTCGCCCTGGCAGTCGGTGACTTCAGCAGTAGGGCTGGTTTGGCTGGGCTGGGCTCTTGTGCCAGGGCGGGAAAGCACCCTGATGTGGCGGTGGGGAGCACCCCGCCCCAGTCTCCAACCTCAAATCCTGTTCCTCGTACCTTCAGCTCAGCCCAGCGAGCCCTGTCTGAGCCCTCTCTGCTCAGCCAACTTTGGGGCCTTTGTGGAAGGTGGCAGGGAGTAAAAAATCAATACAGATAGAAAGTTTTAAGGACTGCCCAGCCCGTGAAGGCTCTGAAAGGAGACAGAATGATAATAATATCAGTAATAAGTAACTTGCTCAGTCACTGTGTGCCAGTGTCTAAGCCCTGTAATCAACTCGTTTATTTTTCCAACAACCCCATGAAGCGCAGGTACTCTTGTTTGCCTCTTTCAGACAAGGAAACTGAGGCACAGATTACTTAAGTAACTTATCATCCAGCCAATAAGCGGTGGAACCAGGTTTTGAACCCAGATTTCTTTTTTTTTTTTAATAGAATTTATTTATTGGCTGAGCTGGGTTTTCGTTGCTGCGTGTGGGTTTTCTCTAGTTGTGGAGAGCTGTGGCTACTCTCTAGTTAAGATATACCGGCTTCTAGCAGTGGCTTCTCTGGTTGTGGAGAAGGCTCTAGGCACAAGGGCTTCAGTGGTTGCAGCTGTTGGGCTCTAGAGCACTGGCTCAATAGTTGTGGTGCATCGGTTTTGCTGCTCTGCGGCACGTGGAATCTTCCTGAACCAGGCCTGGAACCCGTGTCCCCTGCATTGGCAGGCGGATTCTTATCCACTATGCTACCAGGCAAGTTCCTGAACCCAGATTTCTGAGGACATCCTTTTAACTACTTGCACCATTACCTCTCAAGGATGTATTACACAAAAACCAAGCTTGAAGACCCGACGAAAATGGATGGGAAGCCGAGGGGTGATCGGAGGGCAATTGTGTGTTAGATTGTGGAGCTCAGAGAAAGGGGAGGTTTCAGGAAACAGCAGAACTGGTGCTGGCCTCTGATTGGTGTTGGGAAAGGCAGAGTATTGTTTCCTGGTGAGGAGGAGGGATAGATGGACACCGAGGGAACTAGATGGCAGGGATGGACAGTTGGTCTGAGACTCTCAGGTTGGTCTGAATGTGGCAGTGAGTTGCATTGGCCAGAGCTGAAGACGCATGTGGGGGAAACTGATGGGCACCTGTCTTCCAGGGAGGGATTGATAAATTTCAGGTTCCCTCTGTCCCCTGTGTGGGGTGATGTGGTAGGGTGGGGTTGGTGAGGGTGGAAGGGAAACTGACCCATGCCAGGTCACTGGGGCCTGGACAGTGCGTGGGAATCTGAGTGAGGTTGGCAGCACCACAGAGAAACTTGCTGGGCTCACAAAATGAACTGGGGCCTCCTGGAGTCTCCATGGGACTATGCTTCCTAAGCTGTTCTTCAGACATCTCAAGGAGGTTGACTAATTAAGTCATTGGTATTACAGGACAAAAGAGTTTGGGGAATCCCAAAAGCTAAGATGTTAGGCTTAATAGATTCAGTATGGTTAAACTGATTTTTTAAAACTATAGAACTTCTCAGAGCCTTTCATGTGCTCACCTGCTGGTGATAATCAAGCCCAGGTTAGAGTATAAACATACATTTCTCAAACTTACTTTGACCATATGATATGAAGCATTATTGGGAAGCACTGGCATGGCATAGTTATAAATGGTATGTGTAGTTATAAATTGCTTCTCTATTTGAACAACCTTTTTTTGTAAACAGCCCAGTGGGGAAGGCAGGAATGATTGTCCCCACTTTAGACACCAAGGGCCAGAAAGGTCACATAATGAGTAGTGTGTGGCAGAGAATGTGTACCCAAACATGAGTTTCACCCAAGTCTCCTAGGGACAGAGGAAGGAGTGTGAAGCCTGGCTGGGCTTCACAGTGAGTACTGGCCAGCCCAAAGAGGGAGCCTGGGGGCAGTGGGGTCTTTACTGCCAGTTTTGAGGTTTGGTTCTATGAGTGATTTTTTCCCACTGTTAAATCTAGATACACTTATTCCAAAATGCACACACGCACGTGCACACACAGACACACACAAGGAAGGAAAACAAGTGACTTCCAAAGCCCATGTGTAGGGCATTTTTGGATTGTCTGCTGTTTTGGTCGTTTCGCCACTGAGTTCCTTGATCACTAGAAGGATTGGCAGCCTATTCTTTTTGAGGGGGTGTTGGCACTGACCCTCCCTGCCCTCCCCCCTGCCCATGCAACCCAAGAGGGAGATTCTTAAAAGTCCCACCTGGTTGATTAGATTGTTACAGTCAAGGACCAGAAGCGTCAACATAATGACATAATTTGGGAGAAGGGAGGAAGCTGAACCCCGGCTGAACCCTGCTTTACAGACTGAGGCCCCACTGTATCTGTGGGGTTTCCTCCAGAAACAAAGAATAGCTCCCAGAGCCTGGGTTTCACTCCAGGCAGCAGGAGGGGAAGACCCAGCAGGAGGGGGGCCCTCTTTCTGGTCAGAGATGAAGGAGTGAAGGATCAGGAGATGCTCCCCCAGAAGGGGCCCTTATACCCCTCTTTCCTGTCCGGGGAGATTGCTCCCCACCACCTGCCCAGGGGGAAAGGTGTTGTTACTGTTTGTATATTTTCTTTCAGACATAGCCGGTTTAGATTTGGTCAGGATGCAGCAGGGGAACCCCAGAGTGTGGCTAGCTGTAATGGGGTTTGTTCGTGTAGAGACAAAAGACCCCATCCAAGTGGTTAAAAAAAAGAAGAAAAAAAAAAAAACCACCTTTATTATGAAAAATTTTTTAAACATCAAAAAAGTACAAAAATAAATCTCATGTATCCATCAACCAGTGTCAGTAATCACAAACTCATGAATAGTCTTGTTTGAGCTATACCCTGGCCCATTTCTCCCCCACATTGCTATTTCAGTATTTATTTATTAAACAAGAACTCTTTTGAAAAATAAAACTACCATTATTGCAGTCCCCCTTTATCTAATGCTTAACTTTACAGTTCATTTGCTAGAATCAGGATCCAAATAGGGCCTCACATTGCATTTGGTTAATGGATTGATCGAAGACATTTTATTATGAAAATTTCAAACATAGAAATTTGAAAGAATTTTGCAGTAGACACCTATATTGCCACCACTTAAATTCTGATATTCTTTTACTGTACTGTCTTTAATCACTTCTACCACACTCTCCATTCAGCTTGAGTCTCTTAATCTGTAGTTATTCCCCTTTTAAATTAGTGATTAAAAAAACCTGGCGATTGTTCTGAGCTCTTTTTTTTTCAGCTGAAGCTAGATGGAGTGTGTTTGAGGCAGGTGGCCTGTCACGAGTTTTGCCTTCTTCCTCCTCTTGCTGTGGTTGGGAGGTCCCACCCTTTGCAGTTCTGTGAAGTGAGCAGTTGCAGAGACCACTGTGTCCCCTTTTGACCAGGAGGGAAGGGGCTGATCTGAGCACCTGGCCCGCTGGCTGGACCCAGCTTTCCTGACTGAACTGACAAGTGGAAGAGAAGGGAGCTCTGCCCTGAAAGTATGGGTTCCGGGGAGGAGGCTGGTATTCTTGAAGTGGGTCCCTATTACCTATCACCCATTGAGAGGCCTGGAGAAGGGCAAGAATGGAAGGGAAGCTGGCCCCAGAGGCCCCCAAAACAAGGTGGGAAGACTGGGGGGCCACTAAGTAGGGGCTTCCTTTGTGCCTCTGCTAAGGCAGAGGGCTGGGCTGGGCTGCCAGAATCAAGAGCCAGGCTGTCAGAGTCTGTGGCATTGTCTGTGAGAAAGGCCTTTCTGATGCCCTGGGAAGAGAGAAGCTGGAACACTTAAGCTGACCCGGGATAGGGAGTAGATGTCAGACACTAAATGATAAGGAGTAATTTGTTTTACCTTTGGAGATGGATAGGAAAGCCTCGAT